CTGGGGAGGACCCCACACGGGAGCCGCTCCTTAAGGAGCAGTGACCTGTGGAGAGCCTATGCCAAAGCAGGTTCCCCTGGTAGGAGCTGTGGCCTCTGGAGGATCCATGCTGGATCACTTCTTGAAGGAGTGCAACCCATGGGAAGGACCATGCTGGGCAGGGTAGAAGTGTGAGGGGGAAGCAGCAGCAGAGAGGAACTGTTACGAACTGACTGCAACTCATCATCTCCCTGCCCGACTCAGGCAGGGGGAAGAGAGGGAGAGGAGTTGGGAATGAAGGAGTGAAGTAGAGCCTGGGAAAAGAGGAATGAGGAGAGGTGTTTTGTCTTTGTTCCTCATCTTCCAGGGCTCTTTTAACTGGCAATAAATTAAATTTATTTTCGCTAAGTTGAATCTGGCTTGCCCATGATGGTGATCTCCCTGTCTTTATCTTCACCTATGATCTTTTCATCTTATTTTCTCCCCAGTCTTGTTGAGGAGGGGGATTGAGAGAGTGGCTGGATGGGCACCTGATAGCCAGTGAGGATCAAGCCACCACAGTTCTTTAGTACATTTGACTATTTATTTTAAACTTAGTATGTGGTTCTTTATTAACTAGGTGTTTCTTTGAACAATGTATTTATTGAAGTGATGATAACATTGCTCTTTATGTTTCTTATAAAGGAAAATCAGCTGTATTACGATCCAGCAACTGGAATTTATTATTACTGTGATGTGGAAAGTGGCCGATACCAGTTTCATTCACGAGTGGATCTGCAGTCTTATCAGGCCTCTGGTACTCAGCACACCAAGGATAGAAAAGGGAAAAAGAAGAGAAAAGAACCAGAGCGGATTACTGCAAATGAGTATAAGGTAACTTTAGAACTGACAGACAGAAAATGCAAAACCTGTTCTTTTTTCATGATGCAATTTATGGGTTGTGGGGTTTGGTTTTATGTAGAGTGTGTATGCTTATTTTCTGAAGGATTCAAACATCTTTAAACTATATACAGCAGGTTGCTAACGTAGTTAGTGTTCAAATAGTTTTCCCATTGATTGATTAAGGATGAAACTTCAAACTTGGATCCCGTCAGTTTTTCAGTGTTACTTATAGATGTCTAAAATTGAGTGTCAGTGAAGCTCTCTGGTTAGCAAGCACACCAGAATGAATTCAGGGTACTGTGTGGGCTGGATTTACATCAGAAATTCAGTGTTACCACAGTGTCTTGGTTTGGGGTTTTGACTTGTGTTTTTTAGTTTTTGTTTGTTTGGTTTTTTAAATTCATGTGATGAATCAAAAATTGACTGAAGGTTTTGAAAACGCACGCGCACACCCCGCCCCATACCACCCCTTCTCTGTGACTCTGTATTCCAAAGCTCATTCCATAGGCATTTTACTGTATCTCTACCATCATTTGGGATTGATAAAATGTATGTGAAGTTCTAATTTTTTGCATATTATGCTCTCTGATTTTTTTTTTTTTAATTTGGTCAGTACTTCTTTGTTCTCCATAGTGTGTGGATAAACTGTACATGTCAGTAAATGCCCATTGTAATTAACTTGTATTTTAAGTTACAAAAAACATAATTAATTTCTATTGTTTTTCTGGGTGCTAAAAAAGTGTACTACATGGTATGTAGTGACTGTCTTTAAAAACATTACTCGTTCCTAAACTCCAGAAGTTCTATTGTAACACAGCTATTAGACTTTTCAAGACAGCATTTTCTTAATGAACACTGTTATTGATGCTGAATCAAATTTGTACAGTCCTATTTTGCAAATTAGCTTGCAGTGCTCCTTAATTTGCATTTTTTAAAAGTATTGCTTTAACCATTGCATAATTTCATTATGTAGGCCTCAATCAAGCTGTTGGGTTGAAATCTGAAATAATTATGTTAGTGTACAAGTACTCTTACATAATAGTTACACAGCATCAGTACAGAGTTTAAAAATTTTGTGTCAGGAGTGAGGTCTTCTGAAAGACTTGGAAATGGAAACTGTTTACATTAAGAACCAGTGAGGGTAGGTTAAGTGAATAGTGGTAGTTGATTGATTACACATTTTATAAATAGATTGTGACTAATGTGGGAATTTCTACTCTTTGAGAAGACTTCATGTGAACCATCCTGAAAGCTTGAGGTGGACACCTGGCAACATTAAATATAACTATCCTTTAGATTTAAGAGAGGGGAGCTAATGCAGTTGAAGCTACGAGTTTTACCAGCAACCAGGTTCTGGCCGTGCTGTGTACAACTGCTGAATTAGCATTCTGCCACTCTCAAAAGGAACTGTTAATACAGAACTTCATTCATCATGGGAAGCTTGTAGGAATAAGCCTTTCTCATACAATGCAATTAATAAATCTCTTAAATTTAGTTCTGTAATGAACTATTACATATTGACCTAAATCAACAAGTGTATTTATAAAAGTTTTGTGGCATTTGTAGCTCTGACCTAACAAATAAAGTTGACTGCTTTTTGCAATCCCATCACAATACACTTCTGTCATCTCATTATACTAGAAATAGCTACTTGTCTTTAGCTTATATTGATAAAATATTTTTATATAGATGGTCTTGTTAACAAATTATTGTGTGAAACTTGCACAGTTATAAGGTAGGAGGTAAACATCCACTTTTTCTGATGTCTTTTATTGATAGTGAAGCAAGTACTTCACTTTATTTGTGAATTAGTTTGACCAACAAGATAACAGGGAAAACATTTAGAACATATTCTGTAATGCACAGATCTTTTCATCTGTGAACAGTAAGTGAAGATTAGTGTAATAGTAAGAATCAAGGACTTTTCTATTTTTTTAAAAAAAAACAAAAAAGGGAGAATACAAAGTGAAACATAAACCAATTACTCTTCACTTTAAACTTCAAAAAGAAAATAATGCCTTTTTGTCAGTGCATTTTTATGTAAATTCACTGTTAGACTTAGAAAAGACAAAGCACCTTACTGTCATATTTTACGTAGCTGAGTTAAAATACTTTATTCTTGTTGTGTAGTTCTTAATTATATAAGAAATTTGTTCATTAGTGTAAAAAAAAATGTTACATTTGTATAAAAGATTAAGATTTATTAGAATAAATACAGATTTTTCTGTTAGAAAACTGAAAAAAACGTTTATAAGCTGCACAGTCCAGTTCATAGATGTCTGGTATTTCTTCACAGTATTATTGTTGTCCAGTTTAGTCTGGTATTGGTGAAGGCACTAATTAGTTCATGCTAGTTATTGTATCATTTACATCCTAAAAGAAAACCAAGAATTTCCAGTTTTAAGTAGAACTTTGTAGTTGAAGTGTTGTCTATTGAAATGTATTCCTGCACACTTATGCCCAGCCTTCTCCTTTTTCCTTCCATTCCCTCTTCCTCTCTTGACAAAAAAAAATGCAAAACAAAAGTAAAACTTGTCCCTGAATACCAATTAAATTACTAAAGTTGTAACAATTATTTTCAAGATTAGTACTTCTTTTTTTTTTTCCCCTGATTGGTTATTAAGTTGTGCTGCTAGCCTGACAAATTCCTCCAGACATTACCTAATTTATTGACCAAAGTAGGTTTTACTCGACTTTATTTTTCTACAGCCAGTGCAAGTAGGAGATTGGTTTGATTTATTGCCTGGTCTGTTGACCACTAATAGTGGTAAATAAAGCAATACCAGGGTCTAATTGTGGGAATATGTCATATACTCCCTGAACTTTATTATTTGTGGATGAAGATGAGGTGATTTATAAGAATATACATGTGAAGTGGTGGAAGACAGTGAGCAGTAGTTAGAGAACCTCAAGTACATGAAGCAGCTGTTAAATTTGTTCTGTCTCTTTTTCAGTTAAAGGATCAAATGTAAACAAGTATTGATGGATATTTAGTATTACTTAAAAGTTGCAAATACAAAAAATAAGGAAGTTTAGCAGCTGCATGTGTAGATTATCACAGCAAATATTTCTACATGGACAGCACTGGTAGCTATATAGTTTTTACAAAAATTGCATGTGATTTTTGAATTACTTATTCTATTTAAACCAAAGTTAGTATCTTTTTAATCTAAAAAAGATCATAACTGGGCCAATCTGTTAACTTTCTGTTTCTGGGCACAGGAGGGTTTTTTTTAGTTGCAGTTTAGTTTGTAGCTATTGTGAAGAATTCTTGTGCTCAGCTATCTTACATGTAGTATCTATTTAGAAGTAGTAAGTGGGGATGCTTAACACTACAGAAATGGCAAGTGTATTCTCCACAAATATTGCAGTGTTTGTGAAAAAGCAAGATAAATCTGAGAATCTAAAGAATAAAATTAATCTGTTAAAATACTGTATTTTTAACAAGCTGAATTACCAAACAAGAAAATACTAGTGAGCGTCTGCTAAAACGGACATACTTCTAATTGCCAGAAAAAAACAGTGGAGGGGAACTCATGTGATTAGTATCTCCTGAGGAATATGTTCCTGGTTTATACAAGAACTTTATTTAAAGAAATTCTTTCTTCTCAGTCACCAAACTTCTGTATTACAAATAATTTTCTTTTGACTTGTGAAACTAAGCAAGCTTCCCACATGCTCACTTTTAATAGACGATCAGGGTGTTATTTGCCAGGATTACATAGCCTCTGTGCAGCTTGCATAAAAGGATCAGTGGAATACTTTGGAACTTTGAGGCATATAGTTCAGTGCTGATAGATACCTTTTTGTAGTGGTAGGCCAAAAAAGTGGGGCAAGAAGTACCATATTATGTCCTGTACAACAAAAGCCTTTAAATAATGCGATCCCTGGCCCAGTATCTAGATCCAGCACATCCGTACAGGTTGGAGAATAGACAGCAGGCAATAGTGATCATGCAGTTCTGTTTGCTGTATTGGGACTGTTAGAAATACGTAGCAAAATTTAGATGCAGGATCTGATAGATACCATTTTTTCCCAGAAATTATTTTTACAGTTTATTCTTAAAACTACTGTCTAATAAATTTTATTTCACTGTAGCACTCAAAATTAACTTCTGCCATATTCTATTCCATTATGGACGCATCCTCCCTACTTCTGTAGGAGAGACAAGGCTTCTGTAGTAGTATTTCCCATAGAACACTTAAAGTAGTGATTTTTATTTTTTTTATCACGTGTAGTTTACTTTTTGCTGATATTCGTCCCATCTTAGGTACGTCAGTTGACAGAAACCATGGCTAATCTGAAGATTTCTTCTTTTGGATTGGCAGCTTCTGGTGAAGGTAGAGTTGAGACAACAAACACATTAGTCTGTGGATGTTTACCTTTAACCTTCGTATTTTTATTAAAGGAAAAATAATATCTAGTAGTTGATGTTTAGATACCTATTTTCCTAAAGGAATTAATTTTTTTGATCAAAATCAGTTCATCTACAAAGTAACTTTGAAATGTATTTGGAACACTGTATAAGAAAAACATCTGAAGAAAACTTTGATGGCATTCTAGAATATTTGGGAAGAGACATATTTAGCATTACTGAATTAACATAGAGTGTCCTGACTAAACAAACTACATGTTCTTTAGGTAAGGCAAATTTATGTTTCCTGTATTTCAGAGCTGTCCACTGGTGTATAAAATGGCTTCTTTATGATACAGGAAGAGCTTTACTCTTTTTCTGGCTTTTAATTAGATTTTTTGCATTGGAAATTTAAGGGTTGTGTAGGGTGGAAGACGTTAACTGAAGTACTTGTGAAACAATGCTAGCGAGTGAAAGCTTAGTTATATGAGTGAAAGAGCTATTTTAAACTGTTTGAAAGTATTTCTTTAGTAAAATACTGAATTTCAGATTAATATTTCAAATTGAGAGAGTCAGTGCTAAAGATCTAATATTCAGCCCTTTAGATGAGAGCATTGAATATCCATGATTCCATTAAGTCACCTACTGAACTTCTAGCAAACCAAGAAGCAACAGACTACACGTTTCTAAAAAGTTATATTTGTACATATTTGTATGTTTTGTATAAAATAAATTGATTTAGAAAACAATGCAGTTTAAACAGTGCATTTCTTAGAATTAAGCTAATTATGCTTACAATAATTTTTGAGTTCTAATTTGTAGGCATGCTGAAGAATTGCATGAACATACATGTTGATCAGGCATAATAGAGAAAAATGTGGAGTTTTCAAAGACAGAATGTCTTGCTGTGTCACAGTCAAGCAAAAAGGATAGTTAAATGCTTAAAATATTTTGAATTTTTCATTAAAAACACTGCAGTGGCTATGATCATTCATGTATGTTTTGTAAGTAGGCCAATCTGTACTTCAGAAGGTTGTTGTAATCAGTGGTTTGTGGCCTGTTCTTTATAAAGCAAAACCATCAGTTCCAGTCACACGAGCATGACTTGTAATTCCTACAAGATCACTCCTCATGGGATACCTGAAAATCCTGATTTTGCTTGCACCTTTGGCTGTCTTTGTCAGGGATGCAGAAATATGAACTGACTCAACCCTGTAGTTAAGAAATAGTTTATCATGGATCAGGTTCATCCCACCTCTCAACTTTAGTCATGCTTAGTGAGAAAAAAGCCAGAGATCATGTGGTGATACCCAGTAGATACGAAGTTTTTCAAAGCTGAATCACATAGAAGCAATCCATGTCCAACGTATGACTCTTGGGGTAGGTCTCCTGATAGAGATATATTAGGCAAAGCAATACACAAAGGAACATACGTGCCTGATATCATGGTGTAACAAACATGGTTATAATGAGCACATACTTGCATACTTTGTATGTTGCATCATGAGTTTGGGATGAAGAGTTATCCTGCCATTAAGAAATTAAGTGCATTGCTAGTGTGTGTTAGGTCATTCAGAATGATATTTACTGAATATTCTGTTTACTGCCAGTTCTGGTTTTTAAGCAGTGGCTATATGGAGGCAAGGTATCAGGTGCTGTTTGCATACTTACACTTTAATACATGCTTCATGTGTTAGTACTAGTAGTCATATATAATGGAAAAAGATTTCTTCAGCACAAGTAAAGACCCCCTCAAATGCTTTAAGAATACGTTCAGCAGCCCCAGGCTTAATGTTTAGACATCATCAAGATGTGTGTTTTAATACAGATCTGTGATATCATAAAGTGCTAAAAATCCATATTCTTTAGGAGTGCAATTTTTAAATCCTAAATTTTGTACAAGGATTTCTAAATACAAAGATTACATTTTTATCAGTACTTAACAGAACTATTTAGTTTATTTGTTTTCTTAATAGTTGGTTGTAGTAATAGTGGAAAAATTACAGGAACTGCTGGCTTAACTGTCATATTGGCAGAATGTATGTGCAGAATCCTTGGTCTGTCTATAAGAGTGTTTTTTAAAATGGCTGTTTTCAACCCAGAATAGAGGGTCTGCACTTTAGTAGCCAGGATTTGAAATAGCACCTTTTTATTTTCTAATTTAGAATATCTGAAGTGATGCCAAAAGCGAGTATCATTGAATTGACTACGGCAAAAGAGCTGAGTGGTTGGAGCATTATACTTGGGCATCGGTGCATCACAGTCATCTGTTGCTTTGTCTCAGCTGTGATTTGAGCAGAGCATTTAGTTTCTCTGTTTTCAGATTAGATTAGTAAAACGTCGGTAGCTCTCAGTATTATAGGAAGAAATACATTTAGGATGCAGAGCACCTTGGTATGTTGGGTATCAGTCTAATATCTGTACCAAACATAAATATAGACAAAAATAAATACACTGGAAAAGATCATTCATAAAAATGAAAATCAGATTTACCAAAAAGTTTTCTAATGGAATTAATGTGTCCCACATGTATGAACCTGTGTAGTCTTACTTTTGGCAGGATTACTACATCTCTTTAAAATAAACGATGTTAGGCAGTGACCTTGTGATACTGTTCCTTCCTACTTCCAATACTTGGAGGATTCAGGGAGGAGGGGTAATGCATTATAGAGAAATCCTAAACAAACCGATAATCCTTCAGTTAAAGCATGAGGTCTTTTAAAATTTGCTAATTTTCCCTGAGACTCTGCTGTCGTACTGAAAGTCTTTCAAAAGTGCACTGTGAAGTCCTATCGAACAGCTTGACTGCTGGGCTGAGAGGAATTACTGTGTTTGTCTTACAGCTGTGCCACTGATGAGTTTTTACAGTTCTGAAAACTGAAAGTTATTTAATTTCCATGACATTAACATTCACATTAATTCATGCATCTTGAAATGGAAAATCCTGTATACAAAAACTTACTGAAAAAAGTCAAGGATGTGTTTTATTTTAACTGCTGTGTTGCAATATTTGGTACAGTCAAGGGCAATTCAACGCATTCATGCTGAATCCAAGATGACAAATAACTTAAAATCTGAGAATTTTTTTATTTATCTTTTAAAGCCGTTTGTGTTTATACTTTTCTTTTTTTTAAGATGGTCATCAGGGCAACTAGATTGAGAAATACATTTTGGATGGGAAAATTAATATGAAACTTTAGATTTCTCTCTAGTTAGCTTTAAGTTTATAAACTTTAGTTAAAAAATGTTGATGGTCTTATTTCTGCTGATGAAATCAAGTGGCAGTGGAAGAACCTGCAGTGATCTAATCTGTCTGGTATTCAGTATACTGAAAATGGATTCTCAGTAGAACTGTTCCACATAGTGTAAATTAAACTTAAGTGCTCTGCGGTATCTTGATGAAAGGCTTTATTAAAGTTGCAATTTTGAAAGGAGGAAGAACAGGTCATTAGGCGAGTATGGGTGGGCATTCCAGATATTCTGGACCACTGCGGAAAAAAATGAGAAGACAAAAACAGGAGGAAGATATGATGAAGATCAATTAAAGAACTTTTAAACAAGTTGCAAGAATTGAGTAAGAGAGGGACAGAACTAAGTGTCATAAAAGCAGAACTGGAAAATACTCAAGATACTGTTGTACAAGTTTGGAAGTGAGGACAAGGATCTTAAGTTTTATGTGGGAAAAGAGGAAGGAGTAAGTGAAGTATAGAAGAGGAGTGCAGTCACAGTTTCCCAAACAGAAGATGGTCTCAATCATGTCTAATAGAATGTGAAAGTGTTTCTACTGAAATGTTCTGTTGACTGCATATACAAAACTTTCTGGAAGTTTAACCATTTCTTAATAGTTGTAAAAATAATTCTTCCTAGTGAAGAATTTACTTTCAGGCTGATAGCAGAGTTCAGAATAATTCAAATTATGGAATGTTACATTCTTTATAACTCCCCTCCAGGATCTGGACACAGAAGAGCAGAAATCATCTAACAGTCTGAATTGCTTTTCCACTACTGAGCAAGTAAGTTCTACCGAAGAAGAAGAGTCTCCAAATATAAGAAAGAAGACTAAAATGGACACAAAACCACGAAACAGTTTAAGAGCCAAAGAATCAATTTCTAGAGACAATATAAATTCATATTCACGCAAAAGTACACCAGATCCTGCAGCATATACAGATGACAGTAGAACAGCAGACACAGAGAGTGAGCCAGAAGAAGGTGAAATTACAGATTCTGAGTGTGAAGCCTACAGCAGTGAGGATGAAGTAACAAGTGAAGAAACTGCTGATTCAGAAGACTCAGAAAACGAAGGTGAATTATTGTGGCTTTTATGTATGATATTACTGTATTTTCCAGGAGCCCCTTAAGAACAGACTACAAGAAAACAGTTTGGATAATTTAAAAAAATAAAATAAAAGCATGTGACTTGAGATGTTTTGAATTAAAAATTGCTATATGTTACCAGTATTTGTTTCTTTCTCTTTACTTGCACAGTAGCCAGAAGTAAGTAGTGATGTTTTTGTAAAAGCTGTTTAGGGGTATAATGTCCTGTGCTTGTGTAGAATAAGATTTGTTTAGATTAGGATAGTGACAGAAAAGAAAGTCTATTCCTAAAGCAGAGGTTCCAATACAGAACTCGCAGTGATTCTCTGTATTAAATCTCTTTAATTAATGTATAATATTTCTGATACTGTTCGTAAACAATCATTTATAATTCAATGTAAAATGAGTCCACTGTGGTGAAAAGGATGAACATGGAGTACTCAGTACTACTTGAAATCCTATTTTGTGTGTATGCCAGTGGCAACATGTAGGAAATGGGTACAGAGAGGAAACCTGTATACTGTTTTGTACCAAAGGAAGTGTTCTCTTAGGTCCTTAAGACCGCCTCAAGAATTGAATGGTCTCTTGCCAAAAAAGAAAAAAAAAAGTTACCTTTGAAAAGCTTAGTGCAACCAATTGGAACTATGTATGCAAAGGATATTCCAAATCACAGAATGATATATAACCTATAGAAGTCTGTACTGCAGCTTGTGCCCTGCTCACAGTTAAATAGTCAGATTCTTTCTTATGTTTTCATCACCTTACTTATTCAACTATTCAGATTCTGAGTGATTAATGCCATTCAAAATGTGCTTGCTACCATCAGGCTTTCAGATTAAATTTCCTTCTGTTACTATTTTTAATAATCAATCCTTCAGTAATGCTAGAGTAATAAAAACTAGAGATAGTTTCTGTCCTCTTAGTACCTTTTGACCTAGTGTCTTTCCATCTTACCATGTCTGTGCGTAGCTGAGATCATTGGAGACTCGTTCTGAAAATGCCCATCCCAGAATAGAATTCATACAGTTGTTAGAATATAATTACTTAACAGATACTGAGGTAAAAAAGCATATGCATCGGTAGGCTCATCTATTATTTTCTCTTGTCTGTATTGGTGCATAGTGCTAATAAGGGTAAAAACTAGTAAAATATATTTGACATAGAAATCATCAAATATAAAGTTCTGTATGCATTAGGTTTGTGATGTGGAGAACAGAAAGGTGCTGCCGTTGAGAAAAGTAAAATTGTATTCTGATCTGTTATGAATAATGGGCCATAAATTTATAATACGCTAGTAATTGCTGTGAATGTATTTATTTATTGCTGTAACTAAACAGTTGTGCACATGTAAATAAGTAGAATTAGGAAAACATTTTTAATACTTCAGTATGCAGTCAGAAAGCCTTTGAAACAGTAGTCTCATCAAAGTTTTCTCTCAGATGTGCTTATACATTTCTTTTTCTGAAAGTTGTGTAGGATTCAGCCAGATAATGGCTGAATGTATATCAGTTGTTTAAAAGCTATGGACTATAAGAGTAAAACTGTAATTTGTTGGTAGTAATGGTATTTTTAATTTTTTTAACAATTACAGATGAAGAAAAGATCTGGCCTCCTTGTATCAGAGTAATTGTAATAAGATCACCAGTTCTACAGACTGGATCGCTTTATATTATCACTGCTGTGAAACCTGCTACAATTGGAAGGTAAAACTGAGTGGAATATGAGAGAGAGAGAGAGAGAGAGAGAGAGGGAGATGAAACTGTACCTTGCTTTCAAGCTGTGGAAGCCAGTCAGGATGGCTTGTTCCTACTCTTCATATTTGTCCTCCTAGCGTGCAGCAGTTGTGAGGTACTCTCGGTTAGGTTAGCCCACAGTAAGTCATGCCACATAACTGGACGTCCTCACACATTCAAATAGCAGTAGAGTTGGTTCATTGTTTTTTAATAAGTTGGGTATTGTGCTAGCCTGTATGCATTCTTCCAGTTCTAATATTAAAAAAACCCACCACCACAAACTGGTTTGTTCGTTGTGGATGATTAATTTAATGATGAATTGATCCTTTATTCCATGCTTGCTTGAAACCTCACCCCTTTTCAGTTGCCTTCATCTAATGCTGATAGATGTGTTTTGATTTGCTCTTACAGCTGGAGTTTTCCAGGTACATTTATGTGAAGATTAATAAGGGACAATTATGCTTGCAATTTGCATATAGGTCCTTTGTTAGCTGCATTGCTTCTTTGTCCCCTAGTACAAGAAACTAATACACAAATCCCTTCCTCCTACTGCAGTGGTTTTGACCAAAGAAAAAAAATCTACAGATTACTATTTCATTGCTTTTATTACCTGCCTAATGCTACCAAGAATTCAATGTTGGCACTGAAGACTGATGCCAAGATGCACTGAAGAGCCTGAAGGATGCAGAGTTCAGACTATTATTTACAGGTGTTGTATGAGTATAAAAGTTCAGACAGAAATGTCAGGTTTATAGGTAAAAAATTAACAGCGCAACTTTTTTCATATATTCATTGCCTACTGTGTGTAGGTTGTAGATGGAAGAACGGAACTGAAGCAAGTCTTTACATTGTGTATATAGCAACACAGTGTTTTACATCTGTAAAGCTCCCTACTAACTCAGAAGAGAAACATGGTATTAAGGTTCAACTGACATACACATTTTGTAGGACACTTACTAGATCTGTTTCTATTTTGTTGTGATTTATATATCAACTTGTCTTCCAGAGAAAAAGATGTTGGACACACACTTCAAATTCCTGAAGTTGGAGTCAGTAAGGTAACTCTTATTCTATCTGCTGAAAGGTAGATCAGCATATGAATGAAGCTTTAGATTTTATGGCTTCAGATTTTGCAAAATCTTATGTTAGTTTTTTTTAAAGAACTTCTAGAATGAGATGTGGGTTTAGCTACATTTGAAGTTAGAAAAAGGAAAATGTACAATATTTTACTGAATAGGAATTTAACATGAACAGCAGTGTGATTTCAAAGTCTAGAAAAGCTAAATATTTTTTTAATTGGAGTTTTACTAATCTAATGCACAGCAAAAAAATTATACTTCGAATCTTGAATTTCTTAGTTTCTGAACTTGAGGAAAACTTACTACTCTGTTAAGTACTAATGGTATATAAAGTATTGATGTCAGCTAGTTAGAACTTTATGATAAAGTAATCCAATCCTTGCATTTGAGCTCAGAGAAACAGGTTTTATTTTATTTTTCTTCAAGACAACTGTATAAATAACTAAGGGATGAACAGGGAGTTTGAAAATTTAACAGAATGTCTTTCAGTGACAGATCATAATGGAAAATTTTTCTTCCAGTTAAGAAAGATTAAAGATAAATTATGTGCTCTGTTTTGCTAACTACTTTAACACAGACCATAAACACAGCACTCTTCATAAAAGACGATGTAGGTTGACAGACATGTCATCCAAACAACAAAAAAAAATTGATAAAAACATCTGCAAATGCAAGTATCTGAAATATACTTTACTATGTCTGTTCCAGATGATAGTTCTGATTAATCAGCCATGTACTGTATTTCATACGGAACAATTTCTAGATCAAATCTTTCACTGCTATTAATCACTTTTTCAGGTGTGTATTTGAAATTGGGTGCAGAAAGAAGCCAAAAGGCTTTTTGTTTTTCTGTAATGTTACTATTTTAGTACTTCACAGGTACCTGACTGTTTATATAAGAAGTTATTTCACTTTACAGATAAGGAGTCAAAGGCAGGAAGATAAATGACATATCTGTAGAAAAAGAAAGTTAACTACTAGTTTGTTTTCCTCACTATTCATAGTTAATAGCTGTGGACTACTTTGCCATTTGCTTTTCTTGAGAGTAAAGTGAGACTTAAAAAACCAGTGCTACACCCTGCAGATTTAGCATCTTTAGAAGTTTGGGTTCAGCTATTCAATAAAACAGAAGTAGAAATTAAATTGTCTATTGAATGAGCTAGTCAGTCTCCACCACTATGGGAGTATTCCTGTTGTAAATGCTAGCCAACCTATAAAATACTATTTTGACATTTTTTTATTACTGAATGTAGCAACTGCTATTGCTCAAAGATAAGAAGAGACTTGGTTTTAAATGAACACTTTCTTCTGAGATTGACTCGTGATTTTTTTTTTCTCTACTATAGCAAAAGGCATCTTTGCTTGTCAAATTTGAAACAGTCACTTTCTTAAACTTCTGTTTTTTACTGGGAGTCTTAGTAGGTGGCAGAAGTTGATATTTTCGTTTGATCAGTGGCTGTGTTTGGAGGTAGTGTGTATCTTTGTGAGTTTGGTCAGGAGTTGTGTTTTCTCTGTTCTGTGTGGGCATGGGAGCAATACCTATATAGAATTGCTACCAAAAAAACCAAACAAAAAAATGAGATTGTTAGTCTCAATATCAGAAAGGATATAAAAGGAACAGCAAATGATGGCTAGTCGTGTCCTGGGCTTTAAGATGCAGGTGAAGGTGAATTACATGAAATTTACAAAAGCATGGCATTTAGGGAACTGTTTCAGATATGAAAGACCAAGTAACCCTGATCTGTAGGACGAGATCAGGTTTTTTTTAATTGAGAGTGCTGTTACATACCTTTTCAACAAAAAAGCATTTTATTTATAAGAACAGTTAAAAGATGCTGGATTACTGAATCTTTTTTAAGTAAAGCATACTTGCCACATTGGCAGTATATACTTTTTCAGTACAGAATCAGTTTATGGTCAAAATAGTTATATTTATTGATAGTATACTTTAGCTCATGCTCTTGTGGCCCATTCATTTACATTCACATGGATGAAATCGTAAGGTGTGGAATACTCTATTAACTTAGAATACCAGAGCCACTCATTTAAAAGGTCTCAAAATTTATTCAGAATTTTACTTTAAAATAGGATATAAATTGTGAAGTATTTGCTTAATAAGAACATTTCACTTAGGCTTCTATTTATCAGTTCCATGCAGAAGTATATTTTGACCACGATTTGCAAAATTATGTTCTTGTGGATCAAGGCAGTCAGAATGGAACAGTTGTTAATGGAAATCAGATTCTCCAGGTAAGTACCTGTTGTTATGCTGTGTACATTGCAGAAAACTGTAGTCATGTGGTAATTTTAAATATGTTATGGAAAATCACTAACAATGTCATTGTATGGCTTCTTTCATACATTAGTCTCTTCCTTGGTTCCATTCTGGTTTTAGGGCCACTTAAAATACTGCATGTTTGGCTTATATTTGGAAAAATCCACTATGGTAGCAGTTGCTAGAGTGAAATACCCACTGTAGTTAAATACTTGCCTGCATCTGTGAGTCCAAACTGAATTGCCTAATTATCAGCAGTAGTCATGAAACACAGCTCGTACCCTTCATTAGTAACTAATTAACATGGCTGCCAAAACTTTCTTTTGCTGTAGCCTAAAACAAAATGTGATCCCTACATCTTGGAGCATGGAGATGAAGTGAAGATTGGTGAAACTGTGCTTTCTTTTCATATACATCCTGGCAGTGATACTTGTGATGGATGTGAACCAGGACAAGTGAGAGCACACCTTCGCCTGGACAGGAAAAAGGAATCTTCTGGTTAGTCATGTTATCATAGGATATGTTTTTTATTATGGCTCTTTACTTTATGAACCTAATAATTACTTCAGTTTTCTTACGACTTTCTTCTCAACCGGGAATAGTTCTACAATACATGATGTATTTTCTTCTTGGTATGTGTGTCTATGTGTAGTGTTAGAACAAAAATTCTCACAGTTGTCTTATGTTTCAAAATGTTGTTACATTACTAAGAAGTTATGTTACATTACTAATAAGAAATTCAATCCTGTGTTCTTCCTTTTAGTTTGCCCAGCACTTAGCAAAGAAGAGAGAGAGTTAGTCAGAAGAAAAGCATTAAAACAAATAAGGGTAAAATATGGTTTACAGGTGAGTTTACAGTAGAAGTTGATTAAGTGTTTGAAGTCTACATCTACTTTGTAATTCTTATTTTTAAGTCATAGACTTCCGTGAATAAGGAAAGTTTTCAAATGAACTCAAACTTGAGCCTGGTAGTTTAACTTAAGCTTGTCTTTTGTACACTAAATAATAATTATTTACAAACCTTTGCAGAGAGAGGTGATGAGGGCATGAAAGTTCTGTTAAAAGTTTAGGAAAAGATGATATGTTCCAATGTGTACAAGATTCCTCATCCTTTTGAGATTAAAATTTCTTGAGACATTTCCATTTTTATTTCTGCAAATTAAATTTACACTGAATTGCAGTGCTATATTTATTTGGAAAGGAAAAATAACAAGCAACCCAAAAAAATGATGGAAGGAAGAGGGAAATTTTTTAAGTCCGCTTGCCATAGAAGAATGCCAACATGAATGTACAGGCAATATACTGTATAAGTATTCAAGTTACTTCTGGTTTAGAAATTATTTTAACTATAGGGCTACATCTAACGCTTGTAGTATTCATGTAGAAAACAGAGTGCCATCATTTCTCTCAAATTTTTCAGCTACCAAAATAATATCAATACAGAATCTATAGACGTGCTTAGTTTTGTCATCTATTCTGAAGAAATAGTTGCCGAGGAACAGACTAAATGTTTAAACAAAAAGCCAGTGGCATGTCCATATGGTTTTCTGCTTAATATGGAGAGATTGATTCTTCACACCAAGAGAAGATTCAAGAGAATCTGTTAATTTATTTACAGCCTCTGTGAAATTAATGAATTTGGCAATATTACATTATTATGTGGCAATAACACCTTACAAGGTATGGCTGTAAGGTAAGAAACTGCTAAATGAGAACTATAGTTTTTTGTTACAAGACTTAGAGTTAATGAAATAGGCTGAAGCTGCCTTACTTTTGAAGGGAAGCAGTGAAGTTATCAAAAATAAAGAATTTAAAGCCAGCTTTCTTTGTCTTGATGGAATTTAATCTGCTTATAAAGAACACAGAGTATGAAGACAACAAAGCAGTGAAGAATCCAAAGTACAAAGATAGAGCAGGAAAACGCAGAGAGACCATTGGAAGTGAAGGAACCTTCCAGAGAGATGATAGTCCAGCTTCTGTTCATATGTAAGTTTGTGTGGGAGGTGGGGAATCCTCTAGCAAATCTTAAAAAATTATGATAAAGTATGTATCAATTAGTCACTAGGATACAGTTTGTTAGATTATGAATTACCTGTATATAATGTGTTAGGAGAGCTAGAAAATAGTAAGCTATTCTCACTGCCCAGTTCACATGCTCTTTTTATTAACTCCTTACCTTCCATACAGAACTCAACTTGTCAGTGAAGATGCTTAGATTACTTCCTTACCAACTCAAAAAATCAAGGAACTCCCCAGCTGCACTGTTGACACTGTCTGTTTTTCAAGTGTCTCAATTTCTGTTTTTCCTATCCAGTTCCAGTAATGGTATACACACAGATTTTTCACCTGCAGTTTCTTTCACTGTCAATATCCAGCATATCATAGGACATGCATTTACATACCTCTTAAATGACACTAACTTTAATCTTCTTCAATTATTCCTTTGCTTCTGTAGTTGTAGCTGGGGTGGGTTTTTTTAAGAAACATGAACTTGTAGGTGCTTGTAAGTTGGTAAAAGGACGTGTGAGACAAGTATGTGCGTTATGATGATTCAGTGGTGAGGTAGCAATACTGTCTTTTCCCTAGTGTGGTCAGTTCCCACCCACTTACTTTAGGAATTAAAAGATACAGCGTAAGCAAGTAGTTCAGAAGGAGTTTTAACAAAGTTGATATTGACCAGAGGCTTGGAATAACTTTGGGAACTGAAGATATTCATGGAAAAACTTGCAAAAGGTAGCACTAGGGTCTTCTGGATAGCTCTTGATGGAAGTAGGAACAGCATAGTAGTTGAGTCCTGGTTTCTAGAGCAGCGTATGCTTGCATGTTTCTGTCCTTCAGTATTTGAGTAGAGAGCATACTCTTTGTATTAACTCTTGCTTATTAGTTATCTTAAACTTTCTTCAAAGTGAAATCAGCAACAGCAACAAAGGCCATAAAATGTTGGAGAAGATGGGATGGAAGAAGGGGGAAGGCTTGGGCAAGGATGGTGGCGGTATGAAGGATCCGGTAGGTCTTTCTGGTTTTTAAGTAGAGCAAAAAGAATTAGAAATATATTTGCAGTGAAAAATGTGTAATTGGAAACCACTATTCACTTGAAATATTTCAAAATCCTGGTTAGGAAGGATAATAATAATCTCAGTAGGACTAATCTCAAATAATTTTTTACTTGATTAATGAAGTATTTTGAAATTTTTCAATGATTTCATCCCTTCAGTAGAAAATGCCAGTAATGTCTGTTAGGAAACTAAGCAAGAGAGCTTCTAGCCATTGAATTAATAATCTCATATTTGATACAAAGTCTGGAGGAAGACTGAAATAATTTGAAGTGATGTGAATTCAAGATGGGCTTATGGTAGAATTCTTCACTTTCTCTGAAGCTGATGTGGCACAGAAATGAAGCTAGATGACAGGCCATGAGAGAGGAAAAGCTGGCTGAAGTCACTGTAGCCACCGAGTTCTGGGCCTCTGTGGCAGCCATGTTAGCCCCATTTTTGTCACCGGAGTTGTGTTATCTTTTGGCAGTAGTGCTGCTCATAGTGACACCATGCCTTTTGTTGTCAAACTACCCAGCACAGGGATCATACACTATTAACTCAGTGAGTACTTCACTGTAATGTTAGTGGCAGGTGGCATCAGTCAGCACTCTCAATCATAGTTCTAGAGGTGGTGATTTGACGCATCATTTCAAGAGTACTTTAGATGTCAATGCATAATCTAGTTATATTAAAGCCTTAAAGAGAAGCGCTTGGGGAGAGGCATGGAATTATAAAATACGACTTAAAAGTATTTAGAATACCTAACTTGCAGTTACAATATTTAATGTATTTGACAGATCCACCTTCAGTTACATAAGACGCATGCAGGTTTGGGTGCCAGTAGACCAGCCTCAGTTGAAGATGTTCAGATCATCCAGAGCAAGAATAAAAAGAACTGGGATAAAGCAAGAGAAAGGTTTGCTGAAAACTTCCAAGATCCTAAATCACAAAGGGATACACCTAGGATTACACCTTGGGTTAGAGGGACTGTAGAGTAAAGTATCAGTCCCATAGCTGGGTAATTCCTGTGTGTAAATAGTTGGAAGAGAATTTATTTTTATTCTTTTTTCTTTTGCTAAAGGAGAAGTTTGGTGATATGTAAAATACAGTTGTGGAAAAAATTATACAAGATTAACTCTGTTATGTTATTTGGTTTTCTGTAGTCTTCATGCTTTTATAAAAACACATTTTTAATAAGAAATTAATGGAGTTTAGAGGGATATTCAAATTTAAGTACTTGAAAGTGATTCTCGTCATAAGCAGGAAGTTTCTTCAATTGTGTTTTTAACACAATTCTTCATGGAAAGTCAAACAAAATATCTGTTAAATTTAAATGTGATAGCTTTAACATTTGAACAGTGGTTTAAAAGCAAGGTGAAACAAAAAAAAAAAAAAGCAAGCAAGAAAAACATCACCTGGACCCCTACTAACAGAGTATCATACTGCCATTTCCTCTCTTGTGTGTTTATTCATGATTGCCATGAAATGCTCAGCAAGAGGTACACCACATTTCAATTCATACAGTTCAGTATCAGTTACATTTCCCCCTTAAGGTGGAAAAAAACTTTTGAAATGATTCATCAGTACTGTTCAAAAATAAATACTGTACTCCATGAAATAAACTACCAGCATTAGTGAAGAAAACAATGTTCCGAGATGGCTTGTGGCAAAATTTTCTTCTGTGAAGAACTTGCTTGAGATTGTTTAGTAAATCTGTATCATGCCTTTAAAAGAGGAGGTATGTTTAGAAAATTGCTGTCTGTGTATTATTTATTAACTTCTTGTTCTGATACATCCATTGCTGGCAATGGAGTTTATGCCAGAAAAAAAAACCCAACCAACCAGCTGATTTTTGGTGGGGAAGGATTGCCAGACTGAAGCTAAAAGCTTGGTATTTACTGAATGTTCCTAAACACAATAAATCATTGTCAATTTAAGCAGTGTGCTTCTTGATACTATCCTGTGCATATGCTGGATAGCAGTGCTCTTCTAAAATGGGGAAAAACTTAATACCATTTTAGTCAAGTTAAAGTTCTGATACTTGTCCAAGTAAAGGAAACTTGGTAGTCTCACAATCCGACTGGATCATGCAGGCAACTGTCAAGCACTGTTAGTAAAACCAGGACAAGTTGCTAGGTATTTATCTTTAGACACATACAATATAAAGAAAACATTCAATCTATGTTATTTAAATCATTAAAGTACACAAGTTTAACCACCTGAAGCACGCCTTACTTCAGCACAATAGAGTTGAAGATAGTTATGAGCACTGTGAATGCCTGCAGAAGTACTGCTTAATTTAATTAACATCAGCTCACTGTTTGCCTTTGTAAGCACTTCACGTTTTCAGAGGCTAGCCACTTCTACCCACAAAAAAAAATTGTTTTGTATGGAACAAGTACATGTTAAGTTTTAGAGTTCACCATGTATCTAAAAAGGCACTTCTGCTACTAGGAGGAAAAAAAACCTGTACGCTAAAAGAAAGCTTTTGCCTTTTTTTTTTTTTTTTTTTAAAGTTCACCTCTGTGGTCTTCATAGTGAAACAAACTACAATTACTCAAGTAACAGCTTGAAGAAAAGTCAATCACTGGTTTATTGTTGGCTTGCAAGAAGAAACTTGAAAGGATTTAACTGAGTTTGCATTTTATAAAGTTTCTGAAGTAAGACATCACTCCCTTTCTGTGAGAGGTGTGATCCCACGCAGTGAAGTGCCGACTGTTTTCAGTACTGCAGCTTTCTCTTTCAACAAACAGTTCCATATACAGGGTTGGAGCTTAGTCTCAGTTTAGCATGGGTGTGACAAATCCCATTATCTCTTGATCCTGCCTAGGAAAGTGGAAAAAGTGGTGCCATTAATACACACAGCATTGTTAACAAAACAACTAAAAATAAGGTCTGACTAATCCTCATCAAGCAGTTGTGTGCCTTTATCGAGTAGGAAGAGCTGTATTGAGCTAAATAGGGCTCTTCATCCCCTACCTTAGTCATCTCTTTGAAAGTTTTAAATACAAATGAGTTACGTGAAAGCCACCAATGGTATGCAAGCCTTATGTGCAAATGCAGTACTGTTTTCCCTCATGTCAGGAGGGCAACATGAGTTGCCATTGCACTATTACAATTTTGGAGGCTATAACCAGTAAGATACAGCATAAAGTTTAACTGTCTTACCTTCTCAGTCCTCCAACCATTCTGTTGTCTTCTGAACTTATGATACTTAATATTGACAAAGTTGCTTTTCTATACATCCAAAGTCAAAAGTTGTAGAAGTTTACTGTGTGTATATACAAATGTTGCTAGTGAATATAAATAATCTTAAAGCTGTTAAGAATAACATTACATTCATCAGTTTATATAAATAAACCATTTTCTGTAGTCCTAACAGTGAATTTTGCAAAGCACCAACTTACCAAACATATTTCTGAAATTTAGAATAAACTCAGACGAGTAGGTACGTTCATATCTTCAGTGCTGAGCAACCCAGCTGGCAAGGAAAAACAGGGAGTGCATTCATCATTGTGTGAAAGCCACTGGACTAAACACCTATGCCAAGAGGGGCTCTGAACTACTGTATACATATGAAATATTTATACAAAACATACCATAGATGAAAATGGACTTTCTGCTCTAGCAGGAACAGGCCCTCTGCTGCTGCAGCAGGCTGTACGAAGTGTACCCAGCAGGGGCTTTCAGCCAGTAGACAGCAAATCCATAGCAGCAGGAAGACATGTCAAAAATAGCATCCTGTTATAAACAAGATGTATTTAAATGTGCATACCCAGTTGCTGCCTTATGTTTTTCATATGCATCTTATTTTAATCCGGCAATACCTCTGTGTCGACGAACATACCTGCGAACCAGTTTCTGTGGCCCAGCTAGCGCTGATCTTGGTACAGTCCTACAGCGTACGTAGCAGGACACCATCCATTCCCATCCCTTTGTGCTGAAGTGTCGGTGTTATTTCAGCACCGCAAACAGGGCTCACGTTGCATCTGCTGCTGCTTCTCAAGCTCCTTGATTAAGGCACGGGGGTTATGGCCTGGCCGCCCCGCCGGCGGGCCCTTCCGGCGCGCACAGGCAGCTCTGTGCCGGGGAGGCCGGGCAGCGGG